CATGTAAGCTGTCCACACAGCTAAAGCTAATGCATGGAGCGATGGAACAAATTCTGGCTAGAGATTGGTGTGGAGGTTTGAATTCTAGCAGGTAAAAGAAATGATGATGGTTAAACTAGATGGTTTAGTTAAGGTCTAGAGGCGAATCTAGCTAAAAATAAACCAGTCTTTAACACTGGTCTTCGCAGACTATCTCAATCCACTCAAGCTAATGTTGAGTCATCTTTTAAGGAGTAAACACCTCTGTCTCTAAATGTTCAAAGCAACCCACTGTCGTTTACTTCAACTACATCTAGTTTTGTTTTTATTATTTAAATTTTGAAACTTTCTGTTCACTTTACAATTTTGCATTAATGTGTGCCTGTTTCATCAAATCCCCAAAAATAGACTGAACATTTGTATTTCTAGTGTGATTAAATGTTGGCACCCTCCAGGGAAATAATGTTTTGAGCTGCTGTAACAAAATGGTAGATTTAGTTTCTTTAGTTGAAATAATTGTGGCAGTGTAAAGTGAAAATAAAATAAAATGATGGCTGCTGTGTAGGTATCATTTTTGAAGTTGCTTGAGATCATCCTGCATCTTAGAACCTCACTAGAAAGTCTACGAGAAATGGTTTTCTACAGTGTTTTGTTTCCTTTGTTTTGCAGTGGGTAACTTCTCTGCCAAGAACAGCAGCCTGGACTCCCTGCAGGGAACTCTTGGTTTCTCCTACATGTGCCGCATGGAGCAAACCCTGACCGTGTCCCAGAACCTGTCAATCAACACCTTCCAGGTGCAGCTGCAGCCCTTTGAGGTGTCTGGAGATAAGTTTGGAGCAGGTAAACTCTTTATTTACATTTTGTGAGATATAAGCAAATAACCTCTGCTAAGTGTCTCTGATCCATTCTCCCTGTTTCCTTGTCAGCTGTGGAATGCCAGTTGGATGAAGATAACATGTTGATCCCCATCATAGTCGGAGCAGCTCTGGCAGGACTCGTCTTCATTGTACTCTTGGCCTACCTCATCGGCAGGAAGAGGAGCCACGCCGGCTACCAAACCATCTGAGCTCATGGATCTCACACTGATGCTGGAGCAGGCTGCTCTACTCCTGAATTTAACCACTCAACCTTTGCCCCTCTCTGTCCCTTCATCCTCTCTCTCTCTGTGTGCTTGCTCTTCTTCTTCGCCTTCATCAGTAACACTAGACATCTGCTTTCTGAGCTAACTTTCTTTCAATACTAAAGGGACTCTGCTGGGAGATGGTACTGAGGTTATTAAAACTCTTCACTGGTACCCAGTAAAGCAGGGGATGCATGTTGATCAGGGTGTCACGCTGCGTTCTTCTATTTTATGATTTCTGTGAAAGGAATGCAGAGGAATTATGGAATCGGAGCAGATTATTATTTCACCTTTTCTCGGGTGGCCATTTTTTTTAATCGGTCTTCCCAAAGGTTAGTTTGATTAAAAAGGGAATATGTCTGCCAGTTACATTTCATTTAACACTAACATTTGTAGGTCCTGTGGTTCTGTTTGCTAAAAGGGAAAGATGTTGCACTGAACAAAAGATTTCCAAATGGCCAAACGCTTGTGTTGATCGGTGCCTTCCCAGCTGTGAGGTGGGTGGGATCCAGTTCAAGCCAATATTACAGAGGAAGACCCTCATTGAGACAGTGTGCTGCCATGTAGGAGACATCTCACATAGCCTCCATGTACTGTTACGGCAACTAAAACATGCATCGTTTCAAGGTACAATAAATACTTATTTATGCTTTTTTTTTTTTTGCCCTCCCCACCTTAATACATAGTGATAAAATAATATTTTATTGGAATTGTTGGAACTGTTTTTTAAAAGAGAAGTCAATAAAGGTGAAAGAATGAAGCTGTTTGTGTTTTTATGTTTTGCCTTCATCCTCATCAGGTCAGACCTGTTCCTGCTTGTTTGAAGGTCCTAGAAGTGGAAGTAGAATAGATTATTGATGCGTCCATTGCACAGGGTTTAGTCATTTGAGTTTGATCAATTTATAACTAAGAAAACTGCAACATGTCTTCACAACAGTTTTATGCACGGGGTTCTTTAGGAGTTAGAAATTGGTTAAACATCTTGTAATTGTAGATGTTTATTGAAACTTCAGATTTAATTGTTTTTACCTGAGTCACAAAATATTTAATATCAAGAACCAAAAATGTAGATAACATTAAAACTTAAAAATTATGATTAAACAAACACAAATGAAAAAGAATACTTTGTTCTAAAGAACTTAAAATGTTGAGCCTTTTGCTCTTGTTGCTGCTCCAAGTTGTTACAAGGTGTGTCTCAACTACCGTAGCTATTTGCATGAAAAAGTTAGCTCCTTCTGTGGAGCTTGTTTGCAGATCAGTTGCATAGAGAGTCTGAATTAATAGATCCTCATTTAGAAAAGTGCCATCTTTTGACCTGGCCAGTCTGACCTATTAAATAAATTTAAACCCTACCTTAGTAGCTCTGGTTTTGTGTTCTTTCTAAAACCTCCAACTAATTTTCCCCTAAAGATTTCCATCCATTTAGCTCTATTATACCTGCCCTGATCCAGCTTCTTGTCCTGGCTGAAGGAAACTGTCCTAAGCTTTCCTTCAGCCTTTAGGTGCCTTTATTTAAGGATCTTTATAGTGTTCTTTACTAAGATTAAATTACACACATCTGAAGAGCAATTAGCCCGGTTTTAATAAGGGTTATTGGAGTAGAAATTGCTGCAGAAATATTTCCATATCTGATCCTTTTTTCACATTTGATTCTGATTTTCTTTTTCTAAAATCTGCTAAAATTTAATACTAATTGTAAGAACACTTTTCATGAGGACCATTTCATGTTGAAATACATTTATCGAGTTAGTGGCTCATTGTTTGAGTTATAAAGAACTCTTGTGAAATTTTTCTAAAATGTACAAATTCATTCAGTTTCCCCTAAATCAGAATTTTAATAGTTTATATATTGTCTGATAATAGCAAAATGTCCTTGATGTGATAAATTAAGGCAGATGTATGTGTACTTTTATTAGAATGAAAGAGTATAGCTTGGAAATGTGCACAAAGGGTCAGTAAATAAATATACTGGTTTCATACATTTCCATCACAGAAAAAGTGTTTTCTTTCAACATTGTTCAAAAAAAGAACATTTCATAAAAGAACAGTATCTCATAGTTTATAAGTTGAGTCAAGCCTTTGAGTAAAAGTTTTTTTTTCCCTTTAATCTCTATAATTAGATCTTATTTAAATGATCTAATCAACAGTCTTTCTTAGAGGAAGTCATGAGTTTGAAGCAGGACTTAAAGTCCTTAAAACGACGTGTCTAAACAGAGAAATCGACATGTTGCTTTGCGTAAATCATTGTTTTCCCCTGAAGACTAGATGTGGTGAAAGTTTGTTTTTAATTGTTAAAGCTACAGGGTTATACAGATTCACGTTTTCTCTTTTAAATACCAACTAAATCAAAAACTTAATCTCTTTTCTGTTTTCATTAACTTCTGAAACAGATGGTGTGTGTGTGTATATGTATATATATTGATATATATATATATATATATACACGTGTGTGTGTGGTCATCGCACCAAAGTAAAGCTGTATTATTTGTACTAATTCAGTTCAACAAGTTAAACACCAGGGGCCTGTTTCAGAAAGGAGGTTAAGTGAAAACTCTGAGTTTGTTAACCCTGAAATGAGGGAAACTCTGGGTTTTCTGTTTCAGAAAGGGAGGTAAGTTAAACCTGAGAAAGCAGAGTAAGTCAAGCCCGTTTCTGAAAGAGAGGTAACTTACTCAGAGTCAGTTACCATGGGAATTTACTCTGTGAACCTAACCTGGTCGGGAGCAGGTTTTCTTCAGAAAATCCAGAGTTTATTTTGGTCTCCTCTCCTTTTTTAAAGAGGAAGTGGTGTTTAAACACCTCATTGATTCTTTGGGGACATACAGTATTCATTGCACACATTTCAGTCACGTAGAGCGCATCAAAGGGAATGAAATGGCATGTCCTTTTATGGATGATCCTGTTTGTAAAGCCAGGTAGCTACTCTACTCCCATGATGTGCTCAAGGCTTACCTGCTTGAAGTATGTTTTTATATTTCATTTTCAGCTGCTGCCATGTTCTTTTGATGCCTGCAGGATTGCACCTATCCATGAAAACTAAATTAGGTTTAATAAAATACTGTTCTTCCAGTTTCACCTCTGATATTATAACAGTTGGGTAGGTTACTCTAAAATAGTTCTTAATTACTAACTACAAATTTTATCTTCAACAAGTCTAATTAGATTAATGTAATAATTACTGTCTCTAGAAAGTATTGGTCTACTTACTAATTTGTTTTACTTACTTTCTAAATCCCAAATCAACCTCAACAACTTGAACAATACAAGGAGAGACAAGAAACTGCACTTCTAATGCTTTCAAATAAACAATATTCAATTGCATGAATTAATCTTAAATTGACCAAAGTGTGTAACTAGAGGGAGAAAGTTCAAATCAAAATATACCTTTTAAAAATTTGATATTAAATCCACTATTTTTTTATAGTCTTTAATTTAATTACAGTATTTATAGGACTTAAGTAACTTAATTAATTACACCCAACATTGTATAAAAGTAATTAAAATGTAAACTTACGCATTGACTCTAGCAGCTATTTTCACCCAAGCTAACTCTCTCTCCTTTGCCGCTGCAGCCGTGTTGCTTTTTTTTTTTAAATACATGTTCAAATTCTGCATATGCTTGCATAAGCACATCCAGTTCTGCTGGTGAGAAATATGCACACCTTTTTTGTGGCTGTTGCCATGGTGACTCGTAATATCTGTGCTCCATTGATAATGGCTTTTTATAGTTGTGGTGCACGCGCTTAACTCAGTGTCAGTCAATTTAGAGTTGATTGAACTAACTCATTTCAGCTGTTCTGAAACCCAAAACTCAGAGTTTCCAATCTCAGGATAAGTCAACTCAGAGTTCAAGTTTTAACTCAGAGTTGGTTGAACTTCTTTATTGAAACAGGCCCCAGAAGTCTATATGGTAGCAAATTAACTATTCTGTCAATGGGGCATTGATACAAGAACTAAAGTAACATCAGGGGTTCTAATACTTATTGAATAAATATATAATCTCATTATGTGAAAAGCAGAAAGTTTTTCCAGACAAAAAGGTTTAAAGTTTTTACCAAATCTACTGAATTACAGAATAATCAACATGTGTCATAAAGCATCAGAAATAGACCAACATCTATACAAAGCTATTTAGCAGCTGGAGGCTTTCATTCTGCAGGTGCTATGCTCACCCAGAGAAGCCCACATTGTTTTATTATCTAAAATAGTAAAGATATTAAGTTTCATTGTCTGGATTCCTCCTCCTGGATTTGTTTTCTGTATTTCTCTCTCAGTTTATCAATAGTTGCCATCGACAATCGACCGGGTTCTGTGAATATTTTCTGTAAAAAAAAAAGCGGGATAAAAATTACATGATTGTTTTTTTGTATTGGGTATATTTAAGAGCAGAATAAATAATTGCCTTTGCTAGAATAGAATATATATGGATGAATTAATGGGTGCATTTGTAACCTTGACCTTCTCGCCTCACCTGCATAAAGGTGTGGCAGTCAAGAGTGAAGGATCCACTTGTCATCTGCTTGAAGCACTCGCAGACGTCGGGCAGTGAGCGCGCCCTCAGGATCTCCGTCTGCTGGTGGAGGATGAGAGTCAGGGCAACTCGGAAAAGAACCTTGGAGCCCTCGTAGAAAAGGCAATCCCAGATCCTCAGAACAGTCTGGAAGCGAGAGAAACATGGAGGATTCCAGTCAGAGGATCAACCTGAGATCCTGGTTTGGACTCTGGAGTTAATCTAACAGTTATCTTACCTCTATTGGAAGGATGTCGATGTAAAGGCAGATGAACCAGCGTGACACCACCAGTGTCCATATGCCAGGATACTGGGCCATGAGCTGTCCCACTGCAGGGGCTTTGGTCTTCACCAGCTCCCCAAGGACCTCCTGATCCGTCTTTAGTCCCAACATGGCCGGGCTATAGTAGTCTGAAACATTCCAGAACATTTAGACTACCATTCATCTTTTATCATTTTTATATATGAAATCAGATTATATACTTTAGCAGTAAAATAAAGACTAAAACCAAGCAGGTTCACACTAAAAGTAGACCACGATGTGTTAAAGAGATGTCACCGAGAACCTTAAACATCATCATGGGACCTTTTGCTACTTAATATGAATGATGTTAGGCTGTCTTCATGGCAGATGGGCAAAGATGAAACCTTTGCTTAACAATATGAACATGGAGGCCAGGCTGAAATCAGACAGAGAGAACTTTTAAAGACAAGGACATCAGGAATAATTTTCCTCAGACCCAATGTGACATTCAGTTTTGATCATCTAAGATGCTTTAGGATGACCTTCAAAGGGTTGAACATGAAACAAAGAGGGAGAGGAGCAAACTATAGCTAACTCTGGTTCCTCAGTTAGAAAGCACTTTTTAAAATATTTTGTGTAATGACTGAAATGACGTTTATTTACTGAGTCAGCCTTTCATCGCCTGAAGAACATTTCCAGGAGTAAAGGACTAATGTCTTGGATCTATAAAATTCATTCATGCATTTATCTTTAGTACAATCAATTACTGCAACAGTGTCTTTACAGGTTTGCCTAAAAAGCCCATTAGACAGCTGGTCCAAAACTCTGCTGCCCGTGTTCTCACTAGAACTAAGACAGTAGAACGCATCAGCCCAAATCTGTAGTCCTTACTTTGGCTCTCTGTAGCTCACAGAATAGATCTTAGAATCCTTCTGTTTGTCTACAAATCAGTGAATAGATCAGCAGATAAATACATAAAATATTTGTCAGTGTATCAACCTCCCAGACCACTCAGGTCTCCTAGTTCCAGCCTACTATGTCCACCTAGAACTAGAACCAAACATGGAGAAGCAGCACTTAGTTCCTATGCTTGTGCTTGTTTAGAGCTGCCTTTGACTGTTAAACTGTTAACTGAGGCATCATCAGTTTAAGGTTGTGGTCCCAATGTTTTATTCGTGTTACTAGGTGCTTTTATTCTTTATTTTTCTTTAATTTTATTGTTTAACAAATGTAAAATTTTACAATGTCATTGTATTGAATTGTGTTATACAAGTAAACTTACCTTGCCTATTTTCTTTGAATTAAACCACGTTCTTTCCAGAGAGTAAAATATAAGGATTTAATTTTTAAACCTGTCTGTGATTCAGAAGTTTTTATACTTAATATTTATAATTGTTCTTTAAAGTGTAAAGCTCTTTAAATATTGCATGGACCTGTTTCCAAAGGTTCAAATATTTTAGTTAATTAGAAGGCACGTTCCAGATTTAAATTGTTTGTAGAAGTATAAACATTATTTTTGTTTGGTTACAAATATTTACTCAAAGGGTCTGTGTAACATTTGCCATGTTTCCATTCGACTGAAATTCCAGTTTTTTACAGAAATTATAAGGAAATGCAAATTTGTGGTGTTTCCATTTGATATGAAGCGAATTAACCAAACTGTGTAGAGGTGGCCTACTGCGTCGTCCATATAAGGGCATCACGCATGGCTGTAGTAAACAGGAAGAACAGGCTGTAATCTAGCATGGACCAGATATCAGTAATGGAGGAAAGTTTTAACGAATGTGTTAATATAAGATTAACATGGATCTACATATATATTCATCCAGCCGATTGGATCACACTTTGTTATTATTACAATAAATCCACCTGGCAATATTCTGCCCAGCAACGCATCCATTAACCAAAAGGATTTCTCTTCATCCTTGGTGATGATGAGGAGGTAGCCGGCGATAAAGTTCATCCCCTGGAACAAACAAAACAATAATCATGAAAAAGATCAATACACACACAAACACACACACACACACACACAAAAAATTATATATATATATATATATATATATATATATATTTTTTTTTTTTTTTTTTTTTTTTTTACCAAAATTTTATTCAGTTGATCAATTAAGTTAAAACTTAACAACCTTGATCAATTTACTACATAAAGGATTGGTCAGGGATGCCATAGAGGCTTGATATTATTCTAGATTTGGAGTTAAGTTATGGAACAGTATAACACGGACAGTTTATTAAAGAGTAGATTTTAACTTTACTTCCTTTTCCAATAAAAACTAGTGAAAAGCCTCCAATAAGCTGCATATTTATGTATCTCTGAAATAGCTAATGGTGAGTCTTTAATGGTGAACGAACAATACAAATCCCCTATTAGAAGCACGGGCATTCCTATAAACAAATATAGTTAGATATAAAGAGCAAACTCTTCCTCCTTCATAAGATCCGGCCAGGTCAAAACCAAAGTCAAGGATGCAGGCAGATGACAGTCAACCATGAAGACACGCCTGCATGAATGTAAATACTGAGGGCGTGCCTCATGAACTTGTTATCGTGAAGTAATAAAGGAAGATCTTCACAGTTCTGAAACAATCATTTAAGTAAGAGACGTTGGAGGCAGCATAATGGCATGAGATGGTTGAAAGAATTAATTAATTAATTTTTTTATTAATTTATTTTCATTTATTAATATTTTTGCCATTGTTACAAACCCATAAAAGGAAATCGCTGACCCTTAAGGTCAGACTTGAGAAGAGAATGGAGGGCTTTCTTCCTCACCTGGCAGTAGCCCACAGCCTGGTTGTGGTGTCCATAAGCCAGCAGCACATTGAACAGATCCTTCTGCAGACACTCCTCTGCATGGGTCTTGAAGAGGATGTTGTCAGGAAAGGTTCGGTGCATGTCTGCCCAGAATATCACTGCTGTTAGATTTGGGCCAAAGATGAACAGTTGTGGTGTTCTTGCTTTAAAAATCATTTAAAGTGGATAAAGATAGACAGATAAACCTGTATGAATGGTCTCCTTCAGCTTGGCATCATGCTCCATCGCTAACAAAGACTGGTAATAACCCGGCTTACTCTCCATTAGCTCCTGAGCCCCACTAGCTGCCATCCAGATCCTGGCTCGGTGCTCTTTAGGTACACCTTTACGCACATACCTTTTCACTTAGAAAACACAAAAAAACAAAATTACATGATAATTACAATCATATAGTTATTTATTATTCTATGTATTATATGTATACTAATAAATCATTAGTTATTATTTATCTATTTATTATGATAACTGTTTTAGAATCCAGAGCAAATACAGTCCAGCTGTTTGTAATGTAATCTGAGTCTAAATGCAGCTGTTCTTTAGATGCCTCTGATGAAAACTCATCATCATTATTATCATCAGGATGATAATAATAAGGACCAAGGAGTAGGGTAGACAGGTCAGGGAGGAAGATAAATTAAAATGTAAAACAGGGATAAGTTCTGGAACAATTTCCTGTTCTTATTTCATAAGAATGAAATAAGAACAGGACAAGACATGGCTGCCCACCTAGATTGGTAAACTGGGCTAGGAGAGCTTCTAGTGGAGAAGCACCTTCACAGATTCACATCTGTTGACAGATCAATTGTTTTTACAGAAAATACCAAAAGCTCTGATTTATTTTAAACCCTTTAAAGGACAGAATCAACATTAAAAAGAAGAGACTGTGATCAAACGATACCTAAGTAGTACTGTTTATTCTACACATGTTGCCAGAGGCTTATGAAACACACCAACCCTAATGTGAAACACGGTGATGGCAGCATCATGCAGTAGAGATCCAAAGAGTCGCAGGTGGAGCCAAATAAAAAGGAGATCAAGGCTCGCTTTTAAGCTGAATAATGAGCCTAAACATACAGAGTTCAGTTGGATGATTTTGATCAAAGTTTGTGTGTTAAAATGGCCCAGTTAAAACTCAGCTTTTATAAAGAAGGGACTGGATAAAATAACACTTGATGTAACTGTACATTTATCCTGCACTTCTCATTTATGTCCTATTTGTGTTAGTTTGTCTATCTCGTAAAATTCCCAATTATTCCAATTACATTTGTGGCTGTATTACAACAAAATAAGAAACGTGTGTCATAAACTGAGATCACCAAAAGTTTGAATTCCTTTATTTTTTGTACCCGTTAGGTTCTTCTCCACGTTAGGTTTGTCTTGCAGCAGCTTGGACCACCTCATTGACCTTCTGTTGAGGACCGCCACGTACTCATTCATCATCTCTTTATAGGAATCAAAATCCTGAGGCCTTTCAAATCCATAGGGGTCGATCCTGCAGGGGCAAATATCGTCTTTTATAATTGAATAAAGCCGATAGAGAAAGCAGCCAGCCCTGTGTCTCTTCCTGCTGTACAGCTGATTCTACAGCCTCCTCCACTGGGTTGGGTCCCTGCAACCTGGTGATCAAATGCTCGGCTGAATGAATAGCTAAGTATTAAATTACATGCGAGTGCAATAAGTAGCTTAATTTAAAACCATGAAAAAGTGTTCTTCTGTAAGCAATAAAGCTTCACCTGTTTTTAGCGTTATTAATGGACAAAACATCAAATGCTCAGATCTGAAGGGGAAGAAGCTGATGCAAATATAAAGTCACCCATGAGGAAGTGGCAGGCCTTTAGACTCTTCCCTGATCTAAAAACAAGAGTAGATTAGAAACATTTACCTTTCAGTGTCTTTTTGACTCGCTGGAGGCTGAGCAGTATCTTTAGTTTCTTGGTCCATTGTAAGACATGTGCTGCAGCTTCAGACGACCACTGCACCTGCAAACAACCTGCAGGCTGAAGGTTACTTCATCCCTAGCACCCAGAAAGGAACTGGCTGCTGTGAGGGGAAAATAACAAAGCAGCCAGGCTCACCTTACAGCGCCCTATGAGAGGAGGAGCCGTGGCTCACAGGTAACATCCACAGGTGTGTGCTTTATTTGCACACAAAACAACTGGAGAAAGAGAAGCTCAAATAGCTTCCCTACCAACCTCCTGCATACATTTACTGTGGACAGTGTTGCCATTTCTTTTGTGCTAGGTCTAGTTTTATGTTTATTTCAGTAAACGGAAATGTTTTTAGTTTTATATTTTATCATATGGCTAGTTTTAGTTAAGGATAATAACCTTGGTATACTCTGAACACAATGAACCAACAGGAAAAATTAATGAGTAGCATTATGAATGTCTATAGCTCTTCCAAATAAAGCTACTAATATAAGACTCCTAAATGACTGTGGAGACAAATTCTTCCCCATAAAACATAAAAAGCAATTCTTAAAAAAAAGTATTATTCTGTTATATCCATTCATCGTCACACTTATATCTGCTGGGGTCACGAAGGGTGCTGGTGCCTATCTCCAGCTTGCAATGGATGAGAGGCGGAGAAGCCATGTAACCTGACATTCATACTCAGGGAGAACATGCAAACTCCATGCAGAAAGACCCTGGGTTGGGATTCGAACCTGGAACCTTCTTGCTGCAATGCAGCAGTGCTACCCACTCTGCAGCCCTCTGATTCTGTAATAGTCCTCTCTGGTTGTCATAAATTGTTCTGTATACTTATTTGCTTTATTGCTGGTGAGTTTTTGGTTAAAAAAAAGTGATGTTATGAATTACATTAAAATGTCAAAGTGGAATATTTTACAATATGGCATCACTGCTGCCACCTTCTGGTTTAAGGAGAACTGCTTGCTCCAGAGGCATTGAACCCCAGTTGGAAGAACACATTAACTAGTAGATGTGGCCTCAGCAGTAGCCAGTGATTGGCCAAGGGAGGCCATGGCATCCTCTAGCTCTGCCACTGCTTCCACTTTATTACAAAGTAATAATCCGATTACAAAAAAATGAATTACATTTTTTTTTATTTGTCACATAAAAATAACATTAAAAGGACCTGATTCAAATTCACTAATGAATGCTTTTAATTCTTGCTGTGAAAACCAAAATTATTTAATCCAAAATAAATGGCACCCATCTGTCAATCCAGTGTTTTCACTGAAGGGCTTCATTAGCTGCATCAGGTATGCTGGATTCTCAGTGACGAGGCTTTATTACATGTTAGAAACGGGTCTATTTCAGTAGAACAGAGAAATGTAAAAACAACCAAAAGGTTTTAAAACACACTTAATACACTGAGCATTTTGTTAACCCGTGCAGAGCATGAAGAATAAGGATGAAGCACATGCTGATTACACTGTGCTGACTACAATAGTAGCATGGTGGGGATTAGTGATGCTGTGGGACTGCATTGCTACTTCTAGGACAGGGAACTGCATAGTTTGAAGGACTAGATGGATCCACAGGAAAATCCTGGGAGAAAAGGTCAAGCTGTGTGAAGAAGCAAACTCTTTAGACCTTTACTTCATGATTTCAAAGCCATTTAGGTCTGGGTTTCAGGAGCCATTGTGGTAGGAACTGTACTAGAGTGCCCAGCAAAACCATCTTAAGTTAAAACTATTTGAATATATAGAGTTTTAAAAAGGAATTTGTACAAATGTACAAACCCAAGAACAGTGCTGTGGGCCTTATACGATGACTGGGGGGCATATACATGAGAAGCGAGGTAGAATAGTCATGATGCCTGAAGCTGGTGTCTGCATTTAAATCATGATTACAAAAGGCCATGATTACAAAACAAAATGAAGGGTCTGAACAAATTTAGGGCTTTAATGTACAGAGTAAAGTGGCGTAGCGGTACAGAGATTTAAACAAAAAAATGTACTGGTAAAATAAACAAAATGTGTTGAGCAGAATTTTACACGTTATGCCTTAGGTAAGTGCCCATAGTGGAGTGGTTTTAGTGTATGACTGCAATGCAGTGTCATATTGACTTGCTGTGCCAACATGTGAATATGGAAGCAGCTAAAAGGTCATAAAGACGCGCTTTCTGGGACGGAACAACTAAACTAAGTGACTCAGAAAATATATCCAAATCCCAAAATTTGTCTTTTTTGAAAAAAGGAAAAAGCTGAGTCACTATCCTCCGTGTGCAGCAGCAGGTGAGGGGAGAAGCAGCTCCGTCTCCAATGATTGCTGAAATAAAAACAAACAATTACATTTTATATATATATATATATATATATATATATATATATATATATATATATATATATATATATATATATATATATATATATATATATTACTTAAAAACAAATAACAAAAAAGTTAATTAAATGGCAAATTCAATACTTAATTACTTAATTTGCTGCTATATCAAGACATAAAAAGTTTTCATCAGGTATTTTTTTGTCATTCATTTGTAAAATAAAAAGAGCTTAAAAAAAAAAAAAAAAAAAAAGAAAAGCCAGAATAAGCTCCCTCCAAGACATTTTTATTCAGAAACATTGTCTGTTGTATGATTCTTAAAAAAAAATAAAATCCATTGTGGAGAGGTCAAAGTAAAACCTGGTTATCTGTTAGCCTGTCTGATTCATATTGCATCTAAAAGGTCTATCTAAAAGAAAAGGGCCACTGCATCCTTCCATGTTTATGGTGCCAATAAAATGGTCCCTGCTCTGTTTTTACATCTAGATTTTTTTAAAAACGTCTTCAAACCTTGGAAATAAAGTCCAGTGGATTGTTTTTTTAAACTTTTCCAGAATTTTTTACATGCTTATTTATCTTTTTTTTTTTTTTTTTTTTTTTTTTTTTTGCACCATCTATTTTCAAGTAGACAGCTTTGAGGTTTAATCCTTCCATTATTTCACCATATGATTCCTTTTGGACCTGAAACAGCAGTTTCACCCTTTTTAAACTGGGTAAAAAAAAAACAAGTTTATTAGAAAAAAATGTAACAAAGTGGGAGTTTCGGTCCATATAATTGGTAAAGTGTTCACCTTTGGTGCAGAGTGTGTACACATCGAATTGTTCAGATGCTCAACAAGCCCACAGCTACATTTCCAACCATTTGCCAGCTGCTACAGTAGATCAGTAAATCAATAAGTCTGCTACGCTACTGTCTTTCACTTTGCGATAAATACTGAAATATCAAAATGTATAGTGGAGGATGTTCTTTTTCTGGGTGGATCATCAAAATAATTGGTCCTCCGAATTGTCAATCATTCTGGTGATATGTTTACGTAAGGCCGTCCTACGTGCTCGTCCCCATTTTCACTTACTAGCGGTGAGTCTGATATAGTGGGAAAATTGCAAATCGTCTTTTGGAAAGTAAGCTTGTAAGAGCGATGCAAACAGCAACTTTTAAACAGAGCGTACACGAGGGGAAATGGGCTTGTGCATGCTCTTGCGCACTTTTAATGGGCGTTCCCTCTCAGGGGGGGGTACAGGGTTGTACATGTGAAGTTTTTTTTTTAAGCGGAATGGGCGGGTCTTTTCAAAAATCCTCCACTATACCTTTGAGGGCCATTTATAAGACATCAACTCCTGTTTCTTATATAGTTTTTGCAGCACCAATGATTTTTGCTCTTATTGCACAAACTTTAATTTTGTTTGCTAGCAATCCGACATCAGGTTGATCTTGTAGGTGTTGCTGAGAAATAGAAAAACCATCATGCATGACATGATGCTGCTGATCCTAAATAACTATATAATTACTTTAAAGTATTCAAAAGAACAGCAGAGGGAAAGTTCAGTCAATGAGGCCATTCATCCTGTGATTCTTATTAAAGGTCAAAAGCAGCAACGCTTCTTCCCATTGACGCTAGGTTTGGGTGTAAATGATAAACCTCTCGGATACTGGGTTCTGTTGAGAAAAATCAGCAGTGAAATGGAAAATATATGACAATATATGAAACCTGCTGCTAGAGAAGGAACAGATGAGGTGTTCCCACTATGGGGACCGCTTCAGAATAGAAAGCAAAGCCAGAAAACAACCTGAAAACTACCGTACAAATACACTAAAGGATGAGGTATGTTGGTTGAAGTGAGTTTACAGATATACAATATAAACACCCAGTGCTTTTAAATCAAAATATGCAGTTTTTTATGTGTTGAGCTACATCAATTATGGATCATGGATCAATTTCAAATATAAAAAGGAAAATACTTACATTTGTGTTTCAACAATATCGCCCAAACACGCAGGTTTGCATGCACTGAAATAACAGCTATTACCAAAATGTTAAGCTGTACTTACTTTTTTGAACAGGCTAAAATAAAACATGCATTATGGTTGAACAGTAACAAAAGGTGGGATATTTAGTGTGGGATTCATCTTCCCCATATTTAATGATTTCCTGTCAATGTTGGATGGAAATTGTAGTCTATTGATGCCCCCATGTGGTCAAACACATATTAACTGAAATAATCACAAAAAAGTTAACCTGCTCTGCTTTTAAACCTTCCTAAAGTATTTTAAAATGTGTGATGTCATTTCCTAAGCGCAGACAGAGAGCACTGTACAACAGTAGCTGTGGTTAGCTTGTGATCATATGACATAAAACTACCTTGGTTACTCAGAAACATGATGCTAAAACAATATTTACTTGAGGCAGCAACTGAGGGGCAAATATGCAACTGTTATCTATGGCATCTGTGCAAACATCGTCTTCTTTTACAGTTTAAAACTGTTAAATATCATTTGTGCAATTGTGCAAAGCTGAAAATAAACTTATGCTTGCATCCACATACTGTTATTATGTCAGTGATGGCTTGTCTCAGCTTTATCTTAAAGACAGCTAATAACTGTGATACATGTAGATAACTGTACATTTTTCTTTAACAAGTTCTAATAACACAAATGAGCTGCTGCTGCAAAAGAAACATCAGTGTCTGATGTCTTTAACTAAAAGGCATGCTGTGTAGTAAGGATACTTCATGTAAACAAATCTGGCTCCATCAGAGATTAGTCTGAATCAATAAATGCATCTATGAACACACAGATTAACCGAGTGCTTTCCTTCAGGTAATCATAGGCTCCTGATAAAATGCAGTGCCCATTATACATTTTATTTAAAAACAAAATAAAGCATCACTCAGCTCTTCTGAGGAAAAAGACACAAGAGAACAAGCAGCAACGTCATTAAAACATTGAGAACAACTGAGCTCTGGTTAAAGACACATGGTCATTTTTTACCGCAGGTCAGCGGCACGAGGTGTCCTGCAAAATAAATTTAGTCAATGCTAATCTGACTCATGAGAAAAATAAAAAACAAAACAAAAAAAATTATTCATAAATGCATCCTCATTATTCTGCTTTATACTTTGCAGCACAGTTGTACACTGGGACATTTCCATATTAGTTTCATTCAAATAAATCCAGTAAATACATCTAGGATTATGGAAAAACTCATGCTTTATATGTCTCTCTCAGATGAGGGTTATACTTCTGCTACTGAAACGATGTTCGTTATCCGCATTAACACTGCACAGATACAGAATGATCAGACATTTACTCTTAAGGCTTACTCTGTTATCCTGTCATCACCTAGAAACTTCTAAATAATGGCTTCCTGCTGTAAAAGCATACCATGCAACCTTAGTTAACTGTAGAGTTTAAAAAAATGAGGTTTGTGTGTTAAATAAAGTCATCTGAGGTGAGATATTAGATGAAAATAATTTCATAAATGTTTTTTTTTTCTTAAAGAAACCATGGAGATTCCACTACATTATATTTACAAGTAGACATGGGTCGGTATTAGATTCTCATTACATTAAATATCACTGAGGGAAACTTAAAAACAAAATTATAAGATGATTCATGTACATCTATTTAAAAATTCAGCTGTCTGTCAGTTACAGTTTTAAAACATCTTTACTCTCGTACAAATGATGGCCTGGGAAAGCTGCAAATACTTAAACAGTAGAGTTTGGCTTTTTCTGTAAACATTAGAAATGATTTTGATAATTAGAAATAACACAGCTGATGAGCAGCCCTCAGCAACAGGTGGGAGAGGGGCTGGTTTTAAACTCCATGTCAGATGGAAATCAAGAAAACCAAGACCACTAGGGCACTTTTCCCTGAATCTAATATATATATATATATATATATATATATATATATATATATATATATATATATAAAAAGAAAAAAAACCACTCAAGTTTTAGCAGTTTGGAACATTTAGAGATCCTGTTACGCCTCGTAATCAGCCCGTGTACACGCATCCAGAACTCAAATTTACTCAGTTTGATGAAGAATATCATAAAAAAAAAATAAATGCCTTTACTTTAGTGAAACTTTATTTCTGAAACCAGGCGAGGTGACGTAAAATGATTTTTAGAACATGCTTTCAATGAGCTCACAATTCCTTGACTGGACATCCACCGAACAATTAAACCAACAGCATTATCATCATCCACGATATGGAGGCATCCCTGTTCAGAGATCTGAGCATTTACTGTACATTAAACAATCATCTTTTGCATCTATAAACTGAATGTAATTATATTATTCTTCTTATAGCTCTCTTTGTTATCTGTCCCATTAGATACAGTATGTACAGTTAAAAACTGCAACGGTTCTGTTGGTGCTGGTGTAGCGAGCACTCTGTCCAAAGCTGGAGTCATGGGATGCACAGTCACGCAGAGCTTCATATACCCAAACAAAGATGACTTGGAAGAATCTTAAAACACACAGCTCTTTTCTGTCCTGTCCATTTAAAGGACGCACAGCGGGTGAATCCTGTCTCGGCGATGCGTCCTCGTTGGCCCGCTGGCGAGGCTGTAGCGCCCCTCCTCGAGCAGAGCGGAGGGCCCTCCAGGACGCTGAGAAACTGGCAATGTCCGTACGAGGCCTCCGTCTCAAGGAGACGGAAAATGTGGCCAGTTGTTCTCAACTCAGCTCCCTGAAAGACGGTTTCAAGTGCTTCTGTTTTCTCTCTGAAGTCTAAAGGGTTTTTTTTCCCACCCTTTTTTTTTTTTTTTTTGTACAAGTCTTAAAAAAAAACTATGATGTCGCTGTAAAAGAAACAATGTTCTGGTTTTCCAGAGTCGGGATTGGGTTTAGAGAGTTTTACGTTTGGATCCTGTAACAATTGGTCGAGCGAATTCCACAAAATCGTCTATAAGGACCGGCCATGCACCTGAGGGAACGGGATACACCGTCAATCAAACAGCGATAAGGCAGAGAGAAGAGATGCTTTGTGGATATTCTGCAGTTACACACTCACCTTCTTCGTCATAGTTAGACATGTCATCTGCAATCATGTTACCAAAGTCCAACAATAAGTTCCACGTGTCCTTTGGGATGGATCGTTTATGATGCTCCTGGAAAGAAGAAGCGCTGATCAAGGTTAAGCTTAACAAGATCCCTCTTTATCACCACAGGGATCAAGCTAGTTTTACTCCAATCTATCTGGAGGATAAAAATCTAAATTAGCTCATTTGGGAATTTTTTTTTCAAATTTCCTGAAAGATACACAACATCTGTTGGTTTTGAGCTTTTCATTCTGAGTGGTGTTTCTATCATGGCGACGCCTTTGAGATCATCTGTAAACAGAACCGACTCATCTAGAAAAATCTAGACTTGGCAGGAAGATAGACTCCTATCACAGCAGACTCAATGCTAAGTTAGCGATAGGATGCTAAGGAAAAAAACAAAACAAAAACATACCAGCCTTAAAATGTGCACACTTATTGAACCCGGTTATTACACCTTTTATGCCCTTCTTTCAGATGTATTTTTTTCTTCTGTTGATTATTACATGTAGTAGGACTGCTACATACAGTAGTACACACTATTTAAGCTGCTGCTGCTGTAGATCAACCTCTTAATAAATCATTGTCTTGTTTTTAAACATTCAATGCCATTACTTTTCAGCAATGTTTATAAACTACTGTATTTTTATATAATGAAAATGAGTATTTGAACACCCTGCTATGTTGCTAATTCTCCCACTTCGAAATCGTGGAGGGGTCTGAAATTGTCTTTGTAGGGTCATGTCCACTGTGAGAGACATAATCTAAAAGAAAAAGACAGAAATCACAATATATGATTGTTTAACTATTTATTTGTATGATACAGCTGCAAATTAGTATCTGTACACCTAAGAGAATCGATGTTAATATTTGGTAAAGTAGCCTTTGTTTGCAATTACAGAGGTCAAATGTTTCCTGTAGTTTTTCCACCAGGTTTACTCACACTGCAGAAGGGATTTTGGCCCATTCCTTTACACTGATCTCCTCTAGATCAGTCAGGTTTCTAGGCTGTTGCTGAGAAACGCAGAGTTTGAGCTCCTTCCACAGATTCTCTATTGGGTTTAGGTCTTGAGACTGGCTAGGCCGCACCAGAACCTAGCTATACTTCTTCCAGAGCCACTCCTTGGTTATCCTGGCTGTGCTTCTGGTCACTGTCATGTTGGAAGCCTCCACCATCTTCAATGCTCTAACTGAGGGAAGGAGGTTGTTCCCTAAAATCTAACATTACATGGCCGCCATAATCCTCTCCTTAATACAGTGCAGTCATCCTTTCTCATGTGCTGAAAATCATCTCCAAAGCCTGATGCTACCACCCCAATGCTTCACAGTAGGGATGGTGTTCATCATTCTTCTTCCTCCAAACACAGTTACTGGAATTATGACCAAAAAGTTCTATTTTGATCTCATCTGACTACATGACTTTCTCCCATGACTCCTCTGGATCATCCAAATGCTCATTGGCTAAATTAAAACGGGCCTTGACATGTACTAGTTTAAGCAGGGGAACCCTCCATGATTTTAAACACTGACATTTTAGTGTATTAATTAAAGTAATAAATAGCGGACTAACAGGTCTTAGAGGGTCAGAATTATAGCTGATAGACAGGTATTCAAATAATAATTTGCAGCTGTATCATACAAACAAATAGTTAAAAATATATATATATATATAATGTGATTTCAGGATCTTTTCCCATGATTTCTGTGTGGGAGAACTTGTAAAATAGCAGAATATTTTCCTCATTCTAGGTTATGAATAAAGGAATATGAAGTGTTTGCATCATTTTGACTCACCAAAAGAAATCTATTCCATAGATCGAGGAACTTAAATCTTCCTGACAGAACCAAGTTCCAGTAGGCTACAGCCATCTCCAAATCTGAACACATACAAAAAGAGAGGAAGCTCTGTTTAGAAACGGGCCCAAGAGGAGACGCTGAGGGCTGGCATCCATGTCGTTCCACCTACCGAGACCTTTCTGTCCGGGATTTTTGGCAAAGTTAAAAGTGAACTGGTAGAAGTCTTTGAACTTCCCACTGTCTTTTAACTCCTGCTCTAATCTTGGCAAAAGGGCTTTCAGTTTTTCTGGGCTGTCGCACCTGAACAAAAACAAAACAGTTGAGTGATATTAAAATAATCACACAGAGCATAACCCAACCAGTTATGACACAACTGGCTGACTGAACACAAACTGGCAAACAGAGCCGGAGACATAGCCCTTTAAAGGCAAAACTTTGCAAGTTTCTCATTGAGTCATCTGAAGAAAACCCAGGCTGTAGGTGGATCTATATTTAACCAGCCTTCCCTCCCTTCGGAGCTATAGCGAGAACCACCACAAGATGAAACAGGGGGTATAAAACAGGCTGCTGATGATACCACTCACCCCAGCTCTGTCATTCCATCCATAAACTCCTTCTTGGAGAACTCGCACTGAGTGGCTGCGTGAAACTTCCATGCAACAACCAGCACGGTGATGCTGGCTGGATCCAATGAAAGGTCGTCACAAAACTGCTGGATCCCATCGATGCCTATCTTATTTTCATCCTGTGGATCTATTGAGACAGAGTGCTGAGTTAAACTCTTTGGCCTGCTGATCACTAAAGCTTTCTGCAGAAACTGCCTTGCTTTGTTACGTTACAACCAAAATCTCAAAACAATGAAGACACCTCAGAGATGTGAAGTGGAAGGAAAGGTATAGACCATAGTGAAACTGAAGTTTGGTCTCGATTTTTAATCAGCCCTGAGAATTTGTGAGCATCAGTGTTAAAGTCTTGTAACTGGCAACTCATGAATATGCTTTGATTTGAATCAGAGCCACAACATATCAGATTTCACTTTCGCTTTCCAATAATCTACTTGACCCGTGGATCTAAAAACTGGATGGAAAGGTTAGGACATTTAAATGGTGGGAGGGTGTATGGTGACAGTAATCAAATATCCTTAATTGTATATTAAATAATGGCATTGCAATCCGATGTTTTCCTAAAGCCCCTGTCACACCTTGACAATTTAGCCAGCATATGCCTGACGTCCCAGAATCTTCTAAAACACTGGCATACGCTGAACTTTCTATGTATTTTTTTTATTTTGGGCGTATAAATAGAGTATTCATTACGAGTCCAGTGCATATGTCAAACGACAGCCTAACTTATGCATAACGCACAGCATGAAGCCCATGAAATGTCCCACGGCAGTTTCCTGAAGGTGCAGCAATTACATTAAAAGATTTCTTTGATCACAGTATTAACCTAGCTGCTGTTTACCACCCGACAAAAAAGGAGGTTTGCAGTCGCAGCAGATTCAGCGTCATGTCTGCTGGTAAGTTTGTTAGTCGTGGCCATGGGCGTGAACGAAGGGAGGATACATCACACTCACCTTCTCACTCACCCTACCACTGGAATAGAGTCAAATTGATGAGATCATGCTGATGTTGGAGGACGGCTAATATGTATTCCCATCTCATCCCTACCGGATCCTCCATCTCTTGTGGAATGTCTGTTCACCATGAAGTCTGGAGGAGTACTAACGGTTTCCTCCTGTGAACCCCCTTTTATATCAAAAAGCTGTTGATACGCCGTTATATAGTAGCTGTGAGTTAGAAACATGTTCAGGGTTCGTCCAGAACACATCCAATACATTAATATGCATTGGAGGTAAGTTCTTGATAAGTTACGCATCAGTTAAGCATAACTTACTCATAGGTTTTGGATCAGCTAGACGCCACGACTTATGAGTAACTTACACTTAACGTATATCAACAATCAAATAACTTACCTGTAACTTATGGCCCACACTTGAGCATACGCGGGCATATTTAACGTATGTTGACGTGTGCTAGCGCGCTTCAGTATGCTTCAGCATGCTTCAGCATGCTCAAAACTTATACAAAACTGACTCATAACTTATGCCAGCATTTTTACCAGATTTTTCGTACTTCAGCCATATACTGACTAAATCATCAAGGTGTGACAGGGGCTTAATTCTGTGGAGGCTTCATTGGAACTGATTCAATGGATGAATGTTTAGGGTTTCTGTTCGTTTAGAACATTGAACTTCTACCTCTGGTGCCAACAGTCAAAAAAATTACAAATTTGGTCTTATATGACTTGAGACCCTTAAATGGTTTTGGCTAAGCATATAAAAAGGCCGGAAATGTGGAGTGCATAACTTACATTTGCTCTGTTTTTAGATTCTCCCACCTGAGCTGTGGATATCTGCAGCTCATCCAGTCATCATAGCAATCTCGGCAGCCTCAGCCAACTGCCAGCCTACAGCGCAGACATGCCTTGGTACATTGGCATAAACAAACAAACTCTATTTCAAGCTTTTCCAAAACTTTCTCCCTGGCCTGTCTGCTGTGTTTGTTAACCAGCATTCTCCAACAAACCTCTAAGGCCTTCATGGAGCAGCTGGATTTATATGAAGGTTGAAATAATAATAACCTACTAAGGGGATAGGCTGCATTAAATTTGATCTAAAGTTAAGAGAGTGGAAAAATGTGAATAAAACAAAAACTATTGTTTTTTTTCTCATCTGCTTTGTTTTTTCCTTCCACTTCACAATTATGCCCCAATGTGTGTTTGTCCATCCCATAAAATCCCCACAAAACACTCTGACATTTGTGAAACCAACAAACAAAAACCTATGAAGATCTAAAGCAGTTATTAAGCTTACCTTTGTAACGGTTGTAAAGCTGTTCCAGCTTTTTCCGGTCCACCGAGGTTTTCATGGATTCCTTACAGTAAAGCTCTGGGTTCTGAAAATAGTTGTCCGTCGCAACTTCTAGTTTCCAGTCATTTTGTGTGAGGCAGTAAACAGCTGTCTTCTCCCCAGCCTGTGTGAAGGACATGAACTGCCGTACCTTGTCCCTCTGCGAAGACTTCAGCTTATGCTGTGCAAACACGAGACAGGGGCGGTCAGACACAAGAGCCATCAGACCGGACAAGACGGAAAACAAACCAACACAGAGAGACACAAAAATGAAAATATACAGCGAGCTGTAAACATGGAAATACATTCAGCAGGACAAAAATCCCTTAGATGCTCATATGCCAAAAAAGTTAGTCAGTGACACCGACAAAAAAAGAAAAAGAAAAGACATTTAAACAAGATTGTAATTATGCGCTGTGGGAGAGCAACACATGCTTTTTCTGAGGAGAGATGTTGTGGATACTGAGATCACATGCTGTACAGGGCCCCTCAGATAACTACAGCCACAGATGTAACATGAGCAAGGAAATAAGATGCCATCGCAAGGAGCCACAGATGCAACAAGTCTGGAGTGTAATAGAAGCAATGTGCCAAAAATACTGTGAAACATAAAAATAAATAAATCAAAGAGTACAGGTTACAGGAAAAACTGAGCAGAGGGCAAGCAATTAGAACATTTAAACCAGTCATTTAAGTTCAGAGAAAAGCTTAAGTCCTTAGACACTATGTTTTAAAACTAGTAAAATAATTCAGCACATGGTTTTCCTCAGTTTAAAGCTCTTATAATGTAAGAAATCACACACACTACAGGGTGGATGGCTGTGCTCTTCAACTGTATGGACTAGCTAGCAGAGAAGCACTGCTTTTCCACCTGTTGCAGTGTAATTCCTGACAGCTGACTGAAAGATAACAACACTTTTCCTAATTTGCCGTCATTCTTATTAATAAAAAACGTTTTAAAACCTAAAATTTGCAAGCTATTAGCTGGAAAGCTGTGAATATAGTCAATTTATGTTTGAAATTTCGGATTTAAATCCTGCGATTAATATGAGATAGTGTGGTATTTTTATTTAGGGTTACCATACATCTAATTTCAATGCAGGGGTAGCTATTCCACTAAACCTCATGGCAGAAATTAAATAAACTATAATGCTAATAATTATTTAAGTATCTGTCAAAGAAAAGTAGTTTGGAAGGTCAAATGCACAGATTAGCTCTTTTGTATAAATTTCAGATTGAGCATAATCTAAGGTTGACCACATCCATCAATCTATCTGCAGGGTATATATATTTGCATTGTTTTTATATCTAATATTTCAAACTTTACACGATGGAATAAACTTAAACTCAATGAATCAACAAACTGATCCAGCTGAAGGGAAAAATCTCCACCAGCTGCATCATCTGGACTCTTCCCTGCAGAGCAATATTTCCAGGAAGCGAGGACTAAATGTTGACTTCAACAAGCTGCTAATCAACCTCCTGACATCTTTATTCATTTCAAAACAGGATTCAGGCTTGAACTGAAACGTGTTTGCCTTTTCTTAAAAACCAGATTATCATCAGGACACATTTCAGTTAGCTTTACCTACATCCCAGCTAATAACTTAACACAGGCTAACGTTAGCCGAGTTAGCCTGAATGTATTGACAACAACCAGGAGATGATATAATCCGGAGAAAAGTGTCAGGGTGGTTATAAATAAGCCGAGATTTTACCCAAACCACCCAGCCTGAGTTTGAGGTCCAGTGTTTGACCTGCTAGCAGACGAAGTTACTAGACTGCCAAAAAGGGACGTGTGGCTAATTCTGCTAGCTGCTCTCAAAATATCAACTGACCTTCCCTGAAAACAGAAGCGAAAACCATTAACTGAGCACTGGGAGCTGAATAACACTACACACGCCGCGCGCTTCGACACTATTCCATCATTTTTGGTATATAAACATTGATGGCAAAAAAGGCCAGTGCCTGGGTTTGTGTTTATTTTGGTCACCTACCATTTTTACACCCGCTGTTTGACCAGTTTAGCAGCCCGTGTGTTGCCCCATGTGCGCATGCGCAAAGGAAGTAACTGAGCAGATAGGACATTTTAGTAGAAATATTTCATACATTATTCAGAATAAAAAAATATGGGTTTGATTGTTGTATTTGTGTGGGTTCCAGCCAGGGCCGTAACCAGGAGTTTTGAAATACTGAAGTCAAATATTGCGATAAATCTTACTTGACAAAACACATCCTAATATGGTGATTTTAAAAAACATATATGTTAGAAACGTCAATAAAGAGTTAAATCACACGCCCATAAAGGAGGTGAATAGGAACATAACTCACAAACTGAGAGTATTTGAGTGAGTGAGTGAGTGAGTGATGATCAGGTGTACACGGTGGTGGGCGGTGCATACAGGTGCTGGTCATAAAATTAGAATATCATGAAAAAGTAGATTGATTTCAGTAATTCCATTTAAAAAGTGAAACTTGTATATTATATTCATACATTACATACAAACTCATATATTTCAGATGTTTATTTTGTTTAATTTTGATGATTACAAATGACAACAAATGAAAATCTCAAATTCATCATATCAGAAAATTAGAATATTGTGAAAAGGTTCAAAATTGATGGCCCCTGGTGCCACACTCTAATCAGCTAATTAACTCAAACCACCTGCAAAAGCCTTTAAATGGTCTTTCAGTCTAGTTCTATAGGCTACACAATCATGGGGAAGACTGCTGACTTGACAGTTGTCCAAAAGACGACCATCGACACCTTGCACAAGGAGGGCAAGACACAAAAGGTCATCGCTAAAGAGGCTGGCTGTTCACAGAGCTCAGTGTCCAAGCACATTAATAGAGAGGCGAAGAGAAGGAAAAGATGTGGTCGAAAAAAGTGTACAAGCAAGTGAGATAACCGCACCCTGGAGAGGATTGTGAAACAAAACCCATTCAAAAATGTGGGGGAGATTCACAAAGAGTGGACTGCAGCTGGAGTGAGTGCTTCAAGAACCACCACACACAGACGTATGAAAGACATGGGTTTCTGCTGTCGCATTCCTTGTGTCAAGCCACTCTTGAACCACAGACAGCGTCAGAAGCGTCTTGCCTGGGCTAAAGAGAAACAGGACTGGACTGCTGGTGAGTGGTCCAAAGTCATGTTCTCTGATGAAAGTAAATTTTGCATTTCCTTTGGAAATCAAGGTCCCAGAGTCTGGAGGAAAAGAAGAGAGGCACTTCATCCACGTTGCTTGAAGTCCAGTGTAAAGTTTCCACAGTCAGTGATGGTTTGGGGTGCCATGTCATCTGCTGGTGTTGGTCCATTGTGTTTTCTGAGGTCCAGGGTCAACGCAGCCACATACCAGGAAGTTTTAGAGCACTTCATGCTTCCTGCAGCTGACCAACTTTTTGGAGATGCAGATTTCATTTTCCAACAGGACTTGGCACCTGCACACAGTGCCAAAGCTACCAGTACCTGGTTGAAGGACCATGGTATCCCTGTTCTTAATTGGCCAGCAAACTCTCCTGACCTTAACCCCATAGAAAATCTATGGGGTATTGTGAAGAAGAAGATGCAATACACCAGACCCAACAATTCAGAAGAGCTAAAAGCCACTATTAGAGCAACCTGGGCTATCATAACACCTGAGCAGTGCCACAGACTGATCGACTCCATGCCACGCCGCATTGCTGCAGTAATACAGGCCAAAGGAGGCCCAACTAAATACTGAGTGCTGTACATGCTCATACTTTTCATGTTCATACTTTTCAGTTGGCCAACATTTCTATAAATCCTTTGTTTTTATTGGTCTTCAGTAATATTCTAATTTTCTGATATGATGAATTTGAGATTTTCATTTGTTGTCATTTGTAATCATCAAAATTAAACAAAATAAACATCTGAAATATATGAGTTTGTATGTAATGTATGAATATAATATACAAGTTTCACTTTTTAAATGGAATTACTGAAATCAATCTACTTTTTCATGATATTCTAATTTTATGACCAGCACCTGTATGTTACCTAGGCCTTCAGTTGGCACCTCTCAACTTAATGTACTTCTTATACCTTGAAGGCCAAATATATATCTATGCTTTTTGCAACAATGGGTGTCCAGGTGTTAATATTACCACTTTCGCATTTTAATAGCAGAAACCCCTGATAGTATTAAAATACAAAACCTTGGGGTGAGATTTTGAAATAATTTGGTCAGGAAACCCTGTCTGGGTTAAAAGAGGATAGGTGCAGCTATAGGTTGAAGGCTTTCAGAGGATTTAACTAAAAAAAGTGGCAAAATGTAGAATTTTTATAGCAGAGTAAATGTTTCTGAGTAACAATAAGTGATCTGTATTTATGTGGAACATTTTTCTCACAATATACATTATTTTCTACATTCTGGTGCTTTTTAGAGAATTGAAGTAAAGCAGAATGGACACTACTAAAATACTTGCATCTTAAATATACTTTAAACTAACAATTTCACAACTTTATGTTCATTAATTATTTTCTGCAGGTCAAGTAAATTAAACAATGGGGAACTAATAAGCTATTACTGGATTACTGGCACTGATACAGGAACAGGTGCAATCGAAACCTATGCAAGCTACACTGTGTCTGAATATTTGGTAAGAGGCCAAGGATTAAAAAGCTTTATTCATTATTTTATTAGTTTTTCTTACAATCGAGAAAATGGCTGAACAATTTAGACCTTCTAGGAGGCTGTAGATTTATTAAAAACTCATCATGACAGGAGACAGCACTTCTCTGGATGTTTCAATTGAATGGTGTGATGGAATTAAGTTTTTAAACATATTCAATGGACCAAAATAAAGATAAATGAATAAGATAAGTAATAATAAAAGAAGAAGATCCCTGTGGCTTCTCCTCTATGAATTCTGTATAACTGAGTTGTTCTGCACATCCTCTCTGGATGTGGTTGGTCTTTTCTTGAGTCGCTGATGTTTTGAAAAATAAAATGCAATGGTTCTTTTCTTTTTGTGGAGCTCCTATGGGTTTAGGAGGCACACATGGAAGCTTTAAGAATTAGAGACTCAGGCTTAGACAGATTTATTTTCTCATTTTGTATACACGAGCGTAAACAAAAAGAAATTTTGTTTAAAACAGCTCTAGACAATTTAATTTTTTTTAAATGCAGACTTGAAAACAGTATTAAATACATTAAGAAAATAGTAATATAAACATATGACTGTATATTTACAGTTCTAACATCATTTAAAAAAAATGAATTATACGGTAATTAAAAAAATTCAAACATTTTTGTTAGTTTAATTACTCCTAAATATCAACGGGGGGTTATTAAACTAGACAGAGCAATAATTATTTGACTTGTGAGCAAAACATGTACTAAGACTGGGACTAAAAAAAGCACCAGATAAAGAGAAATAACCATTAGATGTGATCCTTTTTACTGTGAGAAACTGGGAATATGGAGTGAGAGTGAAGACACTGAGATGGGTGAGTCTCACTCCCAATGGGTGAGAGTTGACAGCCCTGAAAATATGAGATGTAACAAGTGCAGGTATAACCGAGAGTAGGATTAGCGTGATGATGAATATAGATACGAAACAGTTGCTAAACTACTTAATAAGCATTGATAATACTTTTCCGCTTTTTCTTCGACTTTTTGGCATTTCATGTTATCCCGTATAGCTGTCATAACTTTAAAGAAGCTTTAAAACTTGCAACTACCACAGGGAAAGAGTAAAAAATGTATTTATTAAACTCAAGGTACTGGAAAGTTCGCAAGGCATCAGAGTCCCAAATGGTAGCAGCACAGCACTGGGGATGAGAGGTAAGCAAGTTAACAGTGCAAAAAAATTACAAGTACTTGCCAATACAAAGTATCGACACAACTATTAATAAAAGCCATTAACTCCTTGGAATTCATTTGAAAATTATTTATTTTCATTTGGCTCATTAAACAGAAATACATTTAGTGTATTGTAATTATATAGATATGTCCTCTTGTTATATTTTAAGACACATTTAGTCTGAGCAACACTTTTAGTGTAACATTTACTGAATAGCTTCAACAGCCTTGTCACAATTTCTACCTACATTTTAATTGAATAAACTATAAAACTATATAAGTTTACATATACTTTTGCAATACCGTATTTTAACTGTTATATGCAGATACCCTCCACTGCACTTTAATTTAGATAGCTTCTGTCCAAACTATTTATTCATTTTATCGTAAAAGCCATCTGTATATTATGCTCATAATTCTGCCTATAGTAATAGCCATCTGTACAATATTTATAGTACATATTCACCTGCAAACTCTGTTATAATAACAATCATATGTATATTATGCTATTGTACATATCTGTAAAAACCCTATTTATAGTAATATCCACCTGTATATTATATTCGGTACATATCCAGCTGTAAATTTAGTTCATAACACTAGTTATCTAAATATTATATTCATAGGACAAATCAGTCAAATACTGTTTATAATGATATTCATCTCTATATTTATTCAGTAGAAACCAATGTCCTATGGAACCATTATTTATCCTGCATTTGCTGCTATTGCACTTCTGGTTAGACCTAAACTGCATTTCGTTGCCTTGTACCTGTACCTGTGTAATGACAATAAAGTTGAATCTAAAAAATCTAATCTAATTAAACTGTGAACGAGTAACTGATATCGTACATTATACTTCTTGTAAAGTAGTAGGTCTAAACCTGTTTTAGGAAAGTGAGGGGCAAGTTTTTCTTGATTAAAAGTAACATCTTTGTCAGGATTTGTTAGAGGGTTGTGGACCCAAAGCCAGAGGCAGGAAGGCAGAGGTAAATTTTTCCGAGTGATTTAATGATGAATTATAAAAAACTGAAAACAGAGGCTGGTTATCCAAAGGATCAAAAAGAAAACAAAGTCCAAACAAAAATAAAACCAGGAGTTCAAAGATAAAAAAATAAGAATAAAACACAAGTCTAGACGTAACAAAAAACCAAGGAGACATCAAGGGAATCAAAATCACAAGGAGGGCTCAGAGAGATGAAGAGGAGGAAGACTGACGAGGTTTGATGGTGTTTGAC